AACCGTCCTGTAAGCATCCCAAAAGCCACTGTCAGTCGTCAACTCGCCGGGAACGACTTTCCCAGTATAAACACTGTAGTGCCCGAGTTGATTATTCTGATCATATTCACCAAGGAGTCTCGGGAACAGCATAGTTCGATAGAAATTGGTATAAAAAGTTCTCAAAAAGTTACTGTTTCGCTGTACTGTATCATAGGTAACCAGACTTAGGCGTGTTTGCCATACGTCTTCACCTTCCTTCACGAAAGTATCAAAGTTCTTACACAAAGGTAACTCCCTCGCCAAATTTACTTGAGCTTGTTCATTAGAGATAAAAGAAGTAGCGATACGGAGGTGTACCGAAAGTCTTTTATTATTTTCCGCAGCATCATACTCCAGCATGATTGAACCATCTACGTTGCGCATGCGTGCAGGTGGTGGGTCAATTGCCCCATTGATAAACATGGCGAACCCAGGCAATACACCACCGTTGTTAACACTGGTTTGAGTAGAAAAACGACCCTCCTTGTCGAGCACGACTGGTGTCGATGAGTTATAGTCGAATAGTCTCACGAGCACCGCTGAATTCACCTTGGGTGGGAATGAAAACCGAAAAAATGCAGCATGTTCCGTCGGGGTCATTTCAATCCTAGCGCCACCCATATCAGCGTTACCAGGATACAGAGCCGATGACTTGAAGTAGTGTGGCTTGTAAGTAGTCTGCAGCGGAGCGAACGACACAGATTGCTGTGGTTCGTCACGGGAAATGATAGCATTAACGAGAAAATAACCATAGTCGCCCAACCATACGGACGGTTGGTGAGTGCATCGTACACCGTAGAAGCTTCTCGAGGCCGGGTTGAAGTAGCGTTTAGGATCATGGTCGGGTTCGGTTTGAACAGACCAATGATTGAAGCCGAATGGTCGGCCCATGAGGGGCGTGGCGCTACCAGTAGACAACTCATAAGTATTAGAAGTACCGGCTAAAACGTTAACATAATCGACGAGGCTAGCAGCAGCTTGAACGATACCGAGCATTACTATGAAGGCAAGGACGACGTCCAACAAGTTGTTCATAATAACAACAAATAAATAAGACTGACAAGAAAACCAACTCTGTGGTTAGTCGGTGTAGTAGCGACACGGCTTCCTCCCCTGCAGACTCTTCATTGGAAGCTATCGTCGACGGACTCGCGTGTAACCCAA